AATATACTTTAGATTACAAAATATCTTTTAACAATAAACCCTTGAAATGAAAGTTTAACTGAGCAAAGGAAAAAAAATTAAAAGGAATAAATTAGAAAAATTAAAAATTAAAAATTAAAAATGGGCAATGCAATCTTATTAAACAAAAATAATTAATTACGTGAAGAACTTTCATTTTTCCAAAAGGTTTAACCAAGTAATACAAGAGAAAGTTTTATGAAAAAATTTGTAATTAAACACGGCAGACTAAGTAAAGTATGAATAAAAATATTAATTTTTAATTTATTTTATTTAAAAATTAATTAAATAATAAGATTAGTATGAAAAATATATTTTTAATTAAAATATTAAAAATTAATATTTTTATTTAAAGATTAACAAAATTAATATTTTTTAAATAAAATTGTAAAGATATTCTTTTGCACCTCTTCTCAAACACGGCCTAAGGATAATTTTATTTATTTATTTTTTTTGTTTTTTAAAAGAGCCTGAAAACATAACCAGCCCTCCCAGCCGCCGTGTCTTTCTCAGCTCTCTGCGTCGAGCCTCAAGCTGTCTCTTCCACTTCTCACAATCTCACTATTCTCAGGTCTCACCTCTGTGGATTGTGCGCCTCAAATTCCAGTTCGCAGCAAGCAGTAAGTGGTGCCCCTTTCGTCATCATTTCTTCTTCAATTTAAGGTGAAAGCAAGAGGGAGAGACGAAAGAAAAACAGAAAACCGCGCCATCGCCATGCCCATAGAATGCCTTGTCCTGGGTAACTCATCGATTTATTTTCTCTATGAATATCTTCTCTGTAACTATCCACGGCATAACATAATTTATAGAGCTGTTCTGTTTCTTCAGGTGCAGGTCAAGAAGTGGGCAAGAGTTGTGTGGTGGTCTCCATAAATGGAAAGAGGATCATGTTCGACTGCGGGATGCACATGGGCTACGCTGATTCTAATCGATACCCAGATTTCTCTCGTATATCTGACGCTGGGGATTTCAACAGCGCCCTCTCTTGTGTTATCATCACTCACTTGTATTTCCCATCCTTTTTTCTTGTCGTTGCTGCTTTGCCTAACTTTGCTAACTGCTTTTTGTGGAATGAATACTGCAGTCATTTGGATCATATTGGGGCGCTCCCTTACTTCACTCAAGTTTTGGGCTACAAGGGTCCTGTTTACATGACTGTAAGTTTTCGTCGATTGTATGTTTGGTAAAATGATGCACTGGGTTGGTATAAACAAAATGATTTTTTTTTTGTCACCATTCTTTTGATTTGCTTTGTGTATAAATAATTCAATTCCATGATTGGCGTTCTGTTGAATTTTTTTTCTTTCTTAGAGTTAGAATCAAGTGTCTTCCTTTTGCAGTATCCAACAAAAGCATTGGCTCCTATAATGTTGGAGGATTACAGGAAGAATATGGACAGAAGGGGTGAGGAAGAACAATTTACTTCTCAACATATTGAGGAATGCATGAAGAGAGGTACAAAGATTTCTAGTTGTATCTTATGAGTAATTCTTTTTATTTTATTTTTTTACCTGGATAATATATGTTTCATATATATCAAGTAAACTCAAGGTTTACAGAAAAAAATTATCCTCAACCATCATCAATCTTTTTCCAAAAGACAAAGTCTAGTCTTTCTCTACAATCTCTGATAGAGAAACAGGAAGATGCAAATGACTGATCATAAAACAGATCTGCAACCAGTCATAAGCTTCTGTGCTGTTCTAGACGCCAGATTAAAGTTACCCCATAATTGCTTTACACAATACTCCAGAATCCACCTCTCAAACCGGGCTATTAACTCCCAATCAATTGCTAAAGAAAGGTTAGTTCTCAAAGGCATATGCTTCAGTTGCTCAACAGATTTATTCCGTACAATCACTGACTATCACTACTCTCCAACCTCCAAATTGTCAATATTAAAGGTTCCATCATGGCAGCTTTCAATTTCCTCTGCTCTGGAGCCACCCAAGTTTCATTTCTATTTGTTAGTTGTTTATTAGAATCAAAATACTTACTTGTAGTTTCCTGGGAAGCTGAATTACATTCTGATGCGGCTTAAGGCTCTGATTTTGTTACCCACTGTATCTGTTATTTATTTGAAAAAAGAGATTCATTCCTTGATTTTCATATTGACCAACAATTAAAAGAAAGAATTGAATGTGCTCTTGTTTATCAGCAGCACTCCCTCGTATCATTTTCAGGAGTTCTTTCAACCATTCTCCCAGTGAAGTAATTCTTTTTTTTGGTTGATGGTGTGAGGGAAAACACTACCAAACCACACATTGCTACTGTCCAATCACACTGTAGTAGAATATGATCCATTGTGTCTTTATAATCTTGTATATAATCTAAGTTTCCACTTTTTTCTTGTAATTTATACAAAACTGTTTATACTAAGACTTTAGAGTATGTTTGCTTTGTGGCTTTGACATGTATGAATTGAACCAGTAGGCAGCTTCTCATTGTTCCAAACGTGTGGCAGGTCAATTGTTTTTGGTGCCATAGGCTGGTAGACTGTCTTAATTACCAAAGGCAGTTCTATGGCTTCAACCCCACAAAATGATTTATAGCGTTGCATCTTTAATTTTGAGGCTTGATCAATCATTTACAGCCCTTTGCATTTTTTATATATGGTTAGCTAATAGTGTTATGATTAAAACTTGACATGAAAAACCCAGTAAAATTCTAATTCTTCATGCCTTTCAGAAATTGTTAAAGTGAGGAGTATATTAGATGAAAATCCTAGCTGCCTGTTCTGAATATTATTCAGAATCATATTTCCTTCTAATTAGCTATTAACTACTAGTCTATTTTATTTATTTTGGTCAGTCAATACTTTAAGTAATATTTTCATGCTGTCCCTTAAGTTGGTAGCTTGCTACAATTACATACTGTATCTAAGTTAGTAAGGTTGCAATTTTGGTTTTCCTTCAATTTTTATCAGACTAATTAGAGGAATATGTTATGTGGTGGTACATTACTCTTCTAATGATGCATTTTTTCACCTTCTATTGTCTGGAAACTGGAATAAACTAGCAAAGTTAGCTGAGTTGAAGTTTTCTTCACTTAAGATGAGATCTTTTTTTTTTTTTTTTTCCATCCACGTGCATTTAGATTCAAAACAAGTTTTGTCTTAAACCTTTTTGCCTTATTTGATTTTTTATTTCAGTTATAGCAGTTGATCTAAAGCAGACTGTGCAGGTTGATAAAGATCTTCAAATCCGTGCCTATTATGCAGGACATGTAAGGAGTTTGATTCTTCTTCATTTTTTTTTCCTTTGTTTCCCTGTAAAACTTAGCTTGTTACAGTATTATCTCTCTCTGTTAGAATATATTACATTGTATGAGAACTTCGAGTTGAATGTGCTTGTTTGAGGGATTGTAATGGGTAGTTCACAGGGTTCCTGTGCTTTGATTGGTTAGAGCACAATATGTAATCTCATGTTGGTTTTAAACCAAGAACTAATAGAAGGATAATTTCTCAAAAATTACTAATGACCACACAACAAACTCAAACTTAGAAATTTCAAGTGTGAGCTTTATCAATATAGAATAAAAGTAGAAACACTTCACTAAACATCCTAATTCTCTTCTTATTGTTTTATTTATTTATTTATTTATTTTATGTTTAGCACTTTAGCTCATTTTTCTTTACTATAGTAATTATCTCTTAAGTCTTAAATCTTCACTATATGTTATATACTTCTTTAGTAGGTACTAGGTAGGATATTATAGTTTAAAACTAGTGGTGGTCATGGATGGGGGTATTTATTGTGTGGTAGCATACTCATAATTGGTGTGTGCTGCAACCCTTTCAAACTTTGGTCTTTCATTTCTATATTTTTCTGTTAGTATTTTTGAGATTTTTTTTTTTTTTTTGGGCAGAAGGTAGTTTTGAGGATTCAGTCCTTTTTCTCAATCAAATAAGACATTGCTATTTGTTAATTTTTATGTGTTTCAATATATTGTGGTTCCAAGGTTCTTGGAGCAGCAATGTTTTATGCAAAGGTTGGCGATGCTGCTATTGTCTACACTGGAGATTATAATACAATTGCTGATCGACATCTTGGAGCAGCTCAAATTGAACGACTACAATTAGACCTACTTATAACAGAGTATGGAAGTTGTTTTTATGCGCATAAATTTGTCATTGTCATTACGTTGATTCTGTCTAAAATGTGAAATGTTTTGGACAATACTAGTATTGTTCTTGCAAAAATTCTGCAAGTTGAACATGACAAGCAAATGAAAATGTGTTCTGCTAGAGGCAGTTGATTCTGTTTAACCAGGCTTCTTCTGAATTCTTGATAGGAGCATATCTCTTTATTTCTTGAATTTATACTCCTCTAGTAGTTGCTTCTTTCACATGGTGTTTGCTTTCACCTATTAAGATTTTTTGGTAAACTATGATTTATAACTTTCATCTTCAAGGAGAGGGGTGGGGGGTCTTCTACTTCATTATACTAGAGCTCTTGGAATTTGGTCCTTTGGGACAGGACCTTTTACTTCTTTATTTGCCATCTATATAGCAAAAAATCAATTGTCCAATTGGTTTGTATGTTGATTCAATATCCTAAGATATTTTTAAATGTCCTTATTGACCAGTTTATATGTCTCCATGTCCTCCGTTTAGTTTTTATTGTAATTGACCAGCAACAGTTCTGAAACTGGTATTTTGTGAAGATATAATTGTATGCCATGTCATGATTAGTTTTTCAAGATCTTAGGAAGCTTTTCCTTACTAGTTTTTTCTAACAGATCTACTTATGCAAACTCAGTACGAGATTCAAAGTACAACCGAGAAGGAGAATTTCTTAAAGCTGTATGTTTAGAATGCTCAAAGTTTCATTTTCTCAGGATTTTTCTCTATTTTGTTGCTTCCAATCCCTGTCTTGTGTGGCTTTATTTATCTTAACAGTAATTAATGTTTCTTGACTTTTTTGATCAACAATTAAACTATCTTGATTAATATGTTAAAGTTGTCCATGCTTGGAAATTGTTAAAAAGAGTTGCAAGATGCTGCTGTTCTTTCCTACAGCTTTAACTGCATTGATTTGAAGTCATGTAATTAGAGAAGCTAAACAAAATTTTGGCATAATTTTTAACAGTTATGTTTTGTTAAGCTGTAAGAGTTAGGTAAGTTAGATTGCACATGTATCTGTTAATTAATTGGTTGTTTTAAGGTGAAGAATAATTTCTGCATATGCTTAAGTATATGTTTTGTCAAGTTTGGCTCCTTTACTGCTACATTCCCAACATGTATCTGTAGACTGCTGTGCCAATCTTATGTCCTAATCATACATACAACATAATCTCCAAACCATGCTGTGACTATTGCTTCACCTCCCCTCATGACTAATCTTTTTCTCCTATTGTCAAATTATAATCTTGTAGATTCATTTTCTCAGTAAAATTCTTGATTACATATTTTTATCCATGAGTGAGCCTGCAGATTACAATTTCACCAAATTTCTTGTTAATTTGGTTAGATTTATGACATATTGAATTTCCCCCACCATAGGTTCACAAATGTGTCGCTGCTGGAGGAAAGGTGCTGATACCTACTTTTGCATTGGGAAGAGCCCAGGTACCTGGACTATGTTATTTGGTTATTCTGTTTTTGTAACTTGGTTAAATTTTGAGATAATGAATTGTTCTAATGGAAGTCTAATTATTGTAGTTTTTAAACTATTGAATGTGTTAAGCTATGCTAAAAGTGTCAGTAACATCGGTTGACCTTGAAGTTTTAAATTTTTGGTACTCTATTTCACAAAATTTTGTGAATTTTTCTAGCTTGAAATTATTTTTTGGCATTAAATCCTCACATATTGCTAAGATTCTTCACATATTGACTGCTTTGCTACTGAATTGTAATTGTTGCTTCTATTTATTTTTTTCTGTATAAAGATTTTTTAAAATTTATGTTTAAGCAGCAAAACTACTTGAGAAACATGCATCCAAATATAAATTATAAAATCTGATCTTTTGGGGTTTAATCATCTGATAAGCAATTCTTCGGTTTCCCATTCTGTAATGTTATAGAAATATGAAAAGTAAAAAGGTTTTCTTTTGAAGATTTTCAAACTGGTTTGAGATACAACTTTGTGCAATAAATTTGTGCTATAACTTTGTGCATCATTAATTTATCATGTAAAAATACCATCAAGCTATAATTTTTGCTCATGTTCTATATTAATGGAGACTACTACGAACAGTTCACTTGTTTAAACCTTAGTTTCTCTTTGACATGCCATTTAGCTATTTCTCAGGTAGCTGACAACAATTCATTGTTTCTGCATTTGCATGGGAACTGGTGTGCATTTATGATGTTTATGATGATACAGGACTCTCTCTTCTTCTTTTTCTTCTTTTTTTTTTTTTTTTTAAAAAATATTTTTTTAATATTTTCCTATCTTGCAATTTTGCTACTTTGAAGATATTGTTTTTACTTTAGTCATAGAATACAAAGTTGGCCTTGTAGGTTGTGTCCAGTCCACAAAATGCTATGAAAAATGTATGGTTAGTAGGTTACTATCTAACTCTTAGTGTTTATTTTATTTTTCTCACATGACTTATGTTAATTTGTTAGAATGTCATTTTATTTGCTTGACAAGGTATGCCTTTCTTTTGCCCACATGTTGACAATATGTGTCTTGATTGCAATCATTCTTTCTTTTTATTCATAGGAAATCTGTCTATTGTTGGAAGATTACTGGGAGCGCATGAATCTGAAGGTTCCTATTTACTTTTCAGCAGGTTTGGTTTATTTGTTCAATTCCTGTTTTTATTCCACTTTTGTTAACTGGTACATTATATTGCATAGAAAAGGCAAATTTTTCTTTCATCTATTGTAATTAAGCATGCCATTCAAAGATCAACAACTCATAAAGAACTATGTATATGTATATATGATGTGTCTTTGGATGAATGAAAAACTTATTCTCTGGATATAATGGACATCAGATAAAAGGGTTAGCATCCATTCTGGTTAATAAATTTCAAATGATTGGGATAAAGTGGAAGGATATTGTCCAATGGTATTTGGTTGAGTATCTGTTAGTATGATGAGAATTTTCTTGTCTAAAAGCATTTCTGGAAACTTGTCATTCTTCCTAAGAGTAGTTTACCTGCAACTCTTCTTCATTCCACTGAAAGGCAAAGTTTCTACAATTTTGCTCCTTTTTAAAATTTTCAAATTTTTCAGTGCTGAATTTTGTAGTCTAGTTGAGTAGTTATTTTCCTTTTGTCCTTTAGAAGAAGCAGGGCAACTCTAAATAAGTTCATTTCAGTAATCAGAGATGATCAAAATCAACCAGAAAACTATATCCTTTGTTACGAATGGCAATAGTTTTCCTACTATATCATTTCTAGGAATCTATTCTTGCTGTTGGTGATTCTTACTTTATAGTTAAAGGAGTCCTTTGGAATGTACCATTACATGTCTTCCTTCCTCTTATCTTTGCTTGAACTTAACTGTTTCCTTATGTTTCTGTTTCCATAAATCATATTTCTTTGTTTTGTCCTTTTTGAACTCTTTAAATAGTAATTTGCATAATTTCCTTTTCTATTGAATTGATAGACATCAGTGCAAAATTCTCTCTTTTTTAAAATAATTTAGTTCTCATGTCAAGTTCTTGTTATGTTTAATTTATTCTATAATTTTAGTTCTCTTTGTCAAACTTTTTGAATAATGAAAAATTACAAACAGCTAGCCACTTAATGGCAGGATTTCTTTGAGTAAAAACTTTGCAAATGGAATCTTATAGGCCTTTGGTCAAATTTCTATGGATTGTATCATCATTCTATTTTAACAGAATACAAGGGTTGGATATATAAGTTCATAGTTAATATTTAATAGTAAAGAATATTGTTGTAAATTCAAATTTTGGTTGTTTAAATTCTACGCAACATGTGCATGTCCGAAGCAATTCATATTTTTACTATAACTTAGTTGTTAATCTTTTTAATGTTTCTTTCTTTGAATAATCTCTGAAGTGCTTATGTGTCCCTGGCATGCAATTTTACTGATTTCTGAGAGTTATTTCTAAACAATCTTTCCTAGTTCTTCTAATCATTTTTACTTTCAGGCACATTTCTTCTGCTGATCAGTTGGGTTTTAATGTTTCAGGTTTGACCATTCAGGCAAATATGTATTATAAAATGCTTGTTAACTGGACCAGCCAGAAGGTTAAAGAGACGTATGTGACACATAATGCATTTGATTTTAAACATGGTAGTAAACTAGCTGACCTGTTGAGCTTCTTATATCTACTACTGTTTTACTTTTTTTTTTTCCCCCTAAAAAAAACAAATGGTTGGAGAAACAAGGGTTGTATGTAAATTACTGCAATCTCTCTCATGCCTGAATTATAGTCATTACTATCAAGTTGTTAGGAAAAGAAAAACTCAGTAATGAATGTTGAATGATTATTAACTGGATCCTGTTCTAGTTCCACGATAATTTTCAGCATCTGACTCATCTCTGTTTTTCATGTTGCAGTTCAAACTTTTGACCGTTCTCTAATAAATGCTCCTGGGCCTTGTGTTCTCTTTGCTACACCTGGTATGCTCTCTGGTGGGTATTCACTTGAGGTTTTTATGCAGTGGGCTCCTTGTGAAGGGAATCTTGTTACATTGCCCGGGTATTAACCTCACTATTTCATTACTTTGTTTTTAAATTTGTTATATTACAAGCATAATGCAGCTTAAATGTTCATTAAACATTTAAGGTTGAAACTTTAATACTTTTTATTTATATCTATTTTTCTATAGATAGAGAAAAGTGAAAATTAGGACGTCAGTACTACTTGTGACATTGTTCAAATACCCTTAATAATTTTTTTTGTGTGTTGATTCATTAAGAGTATATAAGTCTTTTTATTATCATTTCTGGCATTTTAATTGTCAAGATATCTTGATTTTCGGCAACTGATCAACTATTAATGCTTGAATTATAGTCATTACTATCAAGTATTAGCACAACTTTTCCAATCATAACCTGAATTGTTGTAGCACAAAGGTAGTTGCATTTTAGAGCAGATTATTCTCTAATTTACTTCTCATCCTAGATCCCATTCTTCTGTTGATATGGACAGAAAACAAAGAAAATTCTTTATATATTGAATTAGACTCCTGGTTAAAGTTTTGTAGATAACAACAGCGTAATGGGGAATAACTCTCTGCTGGGCATTTCATGTTAGTCTGATTTCTCATGTTCGAGTGTGCATTCTGCATTTAAATATTTACATCCCCCATAACTCTTTGTTTTCATAATGTTCTAGGTATTGTGTGGTTGGAACAATAGGATACAAATTGATGTCAGGTAAACCGACCAGAATTAATTTGGACAAGGACACTCAAATTGATGTCAGATGCCAGGTGGCTGTTTATCCCTTACTGCCTGAGCTTTATTCCATTTTCTCTGTTCATTTATGAACTTTTATTTCATACTTTAACAATTTATTTTGATTTCCTGAATCATAATGCATTCAAGTGTTAATTTGGAAATATTTATTAAAGTCCTTTTCTCTTTTTTGCTATGCGATAAGATGTACTTGAACTTTTTTTCATTTTCCATTTGAATTTTTATGAGTTATAATTCACCAGAATTTAGAAAACTACTGATGCTGAACCAAGTCTTTGCCCTAGACAGTTGAGGCTGTTAATGTTTTTGAATTTATCTTTATCAACAAATTTAGTAAACAATAAGAAGATGTCTGGATAGACACTTTGACCTGTAAATTATAGTGGCCTCCATCAAGGCAATGCCATAATGGCTTAATTTGCTTCCAGATTATAAATATGAATCTGTCTATCGTATCTCTAGTAGGAATGTCTATTTTTCTGAATGTCAACTCTCAGATGGTTTGGAAAAGTTACAAAGTCTGGTAATATTAATTTCAGAATGATTGGTCATTCAATTTGTAGGTTAATAGTTTGCATGAGATATTATAAGTTTTTCTAACAATTAAGGAATGGTGCTGATTTGGATCATGTCATTTGAGTTTTGGCTGCATTGAATGTTAATGATGGCTTCCTGTTGTGGCAATTTCTTGACTATGCCCAAAAAACAAGTTAACGTGCACTTTGTATGTTTTCCAATTCTTATAATGTCCTGAACATCTGTTTAATATTTGCAGGTTCATCAATTGTCCTTCAGCGCTCATACAGATGCCAAAGGAATTATGGATCTTGTCAAATTTCTTTCACCTAAGAATGCTATACTTGTACATGGCGAGAAGCCTAAAATGGCTATTCTGAAAGAAAGAATTGAGTCTGAACTGGGTATCCCTTGTTTTTATCCTGCAAACAATGAAACTGTGTCCATTTCTTCAACTGGTCATGTGAAAGCACATGCTTCTGACACATTCATCCAAAGATGCTTGAGTCCAAATTTCAAGTTCTTAAAATGTGGGGTTCCAGATAAATCTGCTTCTGGCTCAAAATGCACAGAGGGCATTTCCAGGCTGCAGGTGGTTGATGAAAGGGTTGCTGACAGTATCTTGGTTGAACAAAAATGTAAAAAGGCAAAGGTTATACATCAGGATGAGCTTTTACTGATGTTAGGAGAAAAAGAGCATGAGGTTAAATTTGCATATTGTTGCCCAATTCGAATTGAAAAGTCAGTCCAGACTGGAAGCAAAGACCTCTCATCAACAGATAATCAGCACCTTGGTCTTGATAAACGCTCTTTGCTTGAACTATTATCTGTGAAACTATCAAATAAACTTTCTGAAGGGAACATCCAGGATTTTGGGGAACATCTACAAATTGAATCGTTTCATGTGTCAGTTTGTTTGAAAGATAAGTGCTCTCATCGAACATCCAATAGCATTGAAAATCAATCCGAACTAGTGTTCTTTTGCTGCAACTGGTCAGTGGCAGATGAAAAGCTTGCATGGAATATTATTTCAATAATGGAGTGTTGTACTTTAAATACAACTTGAGCTTCTCCTGCTCATGCGGCATGCAATTGCTTGGAAACTCATTCATTATTTTGCCATGTGCAATGCTGGATCCTATTCTAGACACTTTTTAGCAGGGAGGAGGCATCTCTGGCATCTGTCGTACCACTAACATCCTCAGTCATCTGCTCATGTAGCACGAAATTGTTTGGAAACTCATTTATTATGTTGTCTTGTGCAATGTTGGACTTGGATCCCATGATTCTAATCACTTTTAGCATGCAAGAAAGGAGGCAACTGCCATAATGGCGGTAATATCTGCCGCATCCTCATTCTGACCTCATTTTGTTTGCAAAGTAAAAGATCCTGCTTTATGAATTCTAATTAAATGACAAGTTCTGCTCTGTGGGTTCAAGGCAAAACTGAATTGCACTAATAATCGTGCTTGTTTAATGCAGGGAGCTCCACTGTCCATCCCGGAAAAGTTTTGCTGATGGTCTCTCGGCCTTTTCCTTTCCTGGGTTTTTTTCTTATGGTTCTTGTCTTCGTTGTACAAACAAGGTATACAGAAACAAGAAATTTAACTATTTTTTAGTTCAATTTGATACATTACATTCTCTTTCATTTTGCACAAAAAAAAAAAAAGAGGAAATTTCTAGCTACCCATTTTGACAACCGAAACAATGTGCCAAAGTTTCTTACCAAAGTCCATTGAGCCTCTTTTCCTCCTCCTCAAAATCTAATGCTGAAGGTTGACAGGGCTCACTGCTATGTGGCATCACTGACTCTGATTCTGACATGTCGGGCTCCGTCCTCGATCCACCTCCGACGGGCTTTTTCTGTCGGGATTTATGGCGGTTCTCTTGGGAAGCTTTCTCACCAATTTGGCTAGGGACCTTTGGTTTCCTTGGTTTGGCACTATCATCTAATAAATCCTTTTCCTTGCTTTTAGAGGACCTCCTTGATTGCTTCTGTTTATCTGTTTTTTCTCTTGGCCCCAATTCTCTTGGACTGCCCAAACTCCGTCTTGATGATTTAGGCAATTCCGGCATGTCTCGCGCGGGAGAATTCGGATCTCTTGCACTTCTTTTGGTTTTTGAATCTGCAGAACACTACGGCAAAGTCATGTAGAGGATGTAGTTTTTTAATTTCGATTTAACTGAATATTTTTCAGTCCAGCTGATTAAAAGAACAAAAAAGTGTAATGCAATTTGGATTGTATTCGGTTAGATTATATTAATTATTGAATAGAGTCCTCCTCCCTAATTCAATGGAGTTATTGTTTTATCATT